CAGCGGTTGGAACGGTTGCCCCCGCCCGCCGGTGGCGGGGAACGGGCGCGGGCTGACAGCTTGGATTCATCCCAGCTCTCTGAGGCCTCCGAGGGAGGTGAGTGAGGATGAGGAGGGTGGGAAGGGATGGGGAGGCCGCTGGGGCTTGACCCGGCTTCCCCCTCGGTGCCCAGAGGACGCAGAGATAGAGGTGGATGGCACGGTGTTCGGCGGGGACCTGCTGCCCGCCTTCGGCACTGGGAGGGACCACAGCTACTGCGGCCCCACGTCCTGATGGCACCCGCTGCCTTCCCTGCACCGCCTGCCTGCCTGCTCCCTGCCTGCTGCTGCTGGAAGCGCAGCCTCCGCCAGCCTCGCTGGGGCCGCCCGGGTGGGGGCAAAAGCCTGGCTTGGCCCCGCTGCTGCCAAGCGGCACCAGTGACGGCGCTGGCGCGACACCGTGGCATCCGCTGCATGCCGCAACGCGCTGGAAGAGGGCCCGGCTGTCATGGGGACGCCCTCCCGCCTGCCCCCCTGCGCCCCCGGGCAGGCTGGGGGCTGCGGGGCAGCGCCAGCCCCATCAGACACAGCTCCAGGAGGGCTCTGCCGCCCCTGGAGAGTTGGGAAGGGGAAACGAGCGCATTAAGCAGCCTGCCTTCACGCTCCTGCAGTCGCCCCCCTCTCTTGTACATACTGTCCTAGTAAAGGCACTTGGTGAAACCCCTGCCTGCGTCTTGCCTGCGAGCCCAGGCCCCCCAGCAGCGCCGGGCTCTGCTCTAGCCAGGCCAGCCCCGGCCAAATCAGAGGTGGGAGTCGCTTGTTTAATGATAATTACATCTCAGAAAGGGTCTAACAGCAGCTGATTGTCAGACTTGTACAGTTTGTTTAAAAATATAAAATCTAAGGAGACTCCTATCTGTTCTGGTGCAGCCGGCGCCCGCCTGTGCCCGGCCCCTCACACGTACTGCTTCTTCTTGGTGGCTGCCTTGCTCGCCAAGTCCTTGGCTTTCTCCGTAGCAGCCAGAGCTGTCTCCTTGGCCTTCTCGGTCGCTTCCTTGGCCGTCTCCACCAGTGTTTTGGATGGAGCTTCTCCTGTAACAGGGAAGCTGTTAACCCAGCCCCGGCGGGCCCCCGCCCTGCCCCGGGACAGGAGTGCCGGCTGATGCAAGCTAAACCAGCCCCAGCCCCGTCACCTCGGGACGGAGGCCATTTTCCCACGCAGGGGAAAGCCGCGCCCAGCAATCCTGACCCACGTGCATCAGGGCACGTCGTGAAGGGGAACTGCAGGCACGTGACGGCTGCCATGTTACGTCCCGTTCCTGCCTGACTCCACCCCTGCCCGGCCCTGAAAGTGCTGCCCGGCTGCACCACTCTGGAAGAGCCGGCCGTGCCAAGACACGGGGGCAAAGGCAAGGGACGAGGATTTCACAGTCAGATTAATTCAAGCCACGACCTGCCCGTGGACTGCAGCGTTCCCAGTGTGACCTGTAACGCCAAGAGACCCATCCCGGTCAGCCCCGGCCTGCCTTTGGGTGCTCACCTTGCATTCTTGCTAGCACATATTCAAATCCCTTAGTGCTCTTGGTCACGTTGCTTTTGAACCTGGCCAGACCAAATTCCTGCAAGGGAAGAGTCGGTGAAGGCACCAGCCCAGCTCCCTGGGGCTTTGTCCCAGCTTGACCAGTCCCAAGCATCTGGTGGGCTCATGCCCACCAGCAGCAATGGTTCTGAGTGCCCCAAGAGCTCAAGAGGATGGGGAGAACGAGGGGAAAAGGTGGAAAAACCCAGCACAAGGAAGGGGTAGAGCAGTGGGGAGCAGCAGCTTTAAGGCCTGCCCAAAGAGGGGGTACGCAGTGCCGCTCGAGCAGTTGGCAGCGCTCACCTGGACGGCTCGCGAGACGCCAAACAGGCTGGAAGAGACCCAGGCTTCCCGCTTGACCTCGGTCCAGTTGCTGTTCTCCGGGTTCACCTGGTACACGCAGCGCTCCTCCACCACCTGCACGAGGCACAACCCGGCCGTGGGCACTGCCTGGCGGTGCCTGCCGCACGGCCGCGCGCTCGCCCGCGGGCACCTACCATGAGACGCGCGTGGTTGATGTTCCAGGTGAACGTGGTCATGGTTCGGTTCTTGGGGTCCACGATAGAGTCCTCCAGGATGTAGACAGAGTGGGCGACATTGGCTGGGAAGAAGCGCTCCGCCCAGCGGGGCATACGGTTGGTCTTGGTCAGGAGCCGCCGGGAGAGCAGCTTGTGGTCCGCCGTCACCTCCCGGTGCACAATGTCTTCGGTCAGGACATGTTTGCTGAAATGGAGAGGGGTGTAAGAAAACATCAAACCCTGCTCCTGGCCAACGCCTCCCCGGCGGGCTGGGAACCACCAGGCGCTGCGATGGTGGGGGGAAGAGGGCCGAGGTGTTAAGGAAGAACCAGGTGCCCCCCCGGCAGGGCTGGTGGGGAGCAAGGAGAGGGCCCTGCCCCCGTGGAACCCCCGGGGAGTGGGCTGGGGGGGGCACCAACCCATGGGGGACCGGGGTGGAGGACACGGACCCCGAGGGACCGTAGGAGGGGACAGAGGGGCCGCGGCAGGGCCCGGGAAGGGCGAGGAGAGGCCCTGCCCCCGTGGCACCCCCGGGGAATGGGGGGGGGGGGGGGGGGGCGCCGCCCCCCGGGGGCGCGGGGCAG